TTTAAAGGGGAAAATTAGGGGGGGGGGGGGGGATATATAAAAACCCAGATATGCACATTATGGTTCATGTCTCCTCTCCAGCTTGGCTTGATGATGACTGCTGCCACAGTTATTCCAGCATACAGTCTAGTCTAGGCTAATCTTTTTCCCCGACAGGGATGTGTATGCTTTCCACTGTCATAACCTCCCATCCAATCCCTACCAATAACAGATAGATGTCCCTTATGTTTTACACTCGTTTGGGTTTAACAGCATTGAAGCTTCCTTCTAACCCACCTGGCACACAAAGTATATTTACTAACTTGCATGCTCACTGTCTGGGCTGTGATTGATTTGACAGTGACAGTCAATTCTCAATCTATCCGTCCACCTCTGATACGTCTGTCAGATTTTTCTTAAACTCCTCGTTTCTTGTGAACTCAACTCTTCTAATGCTGCCTTCACCTAATGTACAGTGGTTATAAATTACTCCAGTTGCTGAAACGGTGTGGGGTTTCTCCATCTTTCTTACTTACTTAACTAACCGTTTGTGTTAAAAGGCCTCTAAATGTCTACTGTTGAACCTTATTTTTGTCTGCTCTCTTGATGTATCCAGGTAGAGGCAGATCTGGGCTATCCAGGAGGCAAAGCAAAAATCATTCACAAGGAGTCTGACATAATTATGGCATTTGCACTCAACAAGGTAAAATGTGTGATCCTGGGTGAATTTTGGTTCTCCTTAGTTTATAGTGGGAAAATATGCCATCAAGGCTCCACCGATCCGACTTCATCAAGCCCATTTGTTTGGATATCACTGTGAATTATTAGGGTTCTTGAAAATAGAGATAAGTGGGAAGTAATGTGCTGTATTGGTTTTGGCTACATTAGTTTACAGTCGCCAGTTTTGAGCATGAGGTGAAACGGAACATAAACAATAAACAGTACCTGGCAATGGTCCAATGTCATCATCTATAAATTCTTTGACATACAAAAAGAATAACACCTGAAAATGTAAGATCTGATTCAAGAAAGCCTGAAAAAAACATCAACACACACCATTGAAACTCTTGAATAAAGTGGCTCCAAGTAGAGTACTTGTAATAATTGGTGCTTCTGCTTTTGGCAATGTTTCTTGGAAATGAGAGAAAAACCTTAATTGTATGGTTCCCTCCATCCTTGTCTCTCTCCAACCTGCTCACATGCTTTGCCAGGCAAACTCAAATGAAATAGTGCTGGCCTCCACCCATGATGTCCAGGAAGTGGATGTGTCAACACTGGTGGCTGTTCAACCCTACACGTGGATCGGAGAGGACTTTGATAAGGAGTCACGCAGGTCTGATCTCTCCTGATGTTTTCATAAAACTATTTAGATGAATGCTTTTTGCAGTAACGACTTGGTCATGTTACAATTGTAAAAGTATGCAATGTTTCGACAGCTCTGATGACATCGACTACAAATCATCTCACACCAACATTGCCCAGGCCAGCTCTGGTCCCTTTGCGCCACCGCAGATCCCTGTCTCGGCATCCATGCCGTGGCTGGGCAGTGGGCAGACCAGCATGGGAGCCAGCGTGGTAAAGGCTCCTGCACGCATACTCATATACACACAACCATTCTTTTTTTTTTTTTTTTAATGCCGTTTATAAATCCCAACCTCGTTTGCACTCACATTCACATCTATGGATAAGTAAGAATGATCCTCTTACACATATTTTTGGACTGCGCAAGGTGGTTGGCTTACATGTAGGCACGCCACAGAGAACAGTGTGGTTGTGACAGCTGCGCACAGGGCAGGCGATTAAAACCCAGAATGGTATGTACAGGGAGTTCTCAATCATTGCCACCAGGGGGAATCTGAGTTTACCTCTGCGGCAAGAGACAACACAGACCCTTGTGCTTTCCATTAAGTATGTCACTGAATGGATTTACACCACACATAAAGATGGTTGGGGAGAGCCAAGCATTTATTCGATATCCTTGACATCCATCCTAAGGTCAATTCAATGCAATAGTAGATTTTTTTCCCCCTCTACTGTATTACGTCTATTTCACACTAATAGGACAACTACATGTACTGCACGAGTGAGTCTAAACTGTGCACTAGTTGACATCTGTACACCACAACTACTTCTAGTTCAACACTAGATGTTAATTACTAGAATTTTAAGTCACTAGTTGTGCAACAATTTTCAACTAATGCTTATATTTCTATAACTAGCAACATGCCAAAATCCCACTTCTGATGACAAGCTTACTGGTACATGAACCTTAAGCTTGGTGTTGAATAACTGCTTTTTCCATGTACAAGTACGCTCTTTATCTTCACTAGCAGGACCGCTGGCATACGAGCAGAACAACTACATGTTACTAGAGAGGTAAAATTGAGCACAGGATGTCAAAACATGAATAATAATAGAATAAATGAATAAGTAATGCCCTTTGAGCATTTATTTAATATTGTCATATCTGTCTTAAAGTCCATTGTACTGCAACAGTACAAGAACAACTGTGTATTACTAGAAACATTTGTCTACTGCTGTATGATATTTCTACAGACTCCCTAGGACACCTTTGACATGCTAGTAGGACACCACATGTTCATAGTACAGCAAAACTATGTGTCAGCATTTTGCTACTCGTAGGTCCTAGAGGCTGCTAGTGCATGACACATGCCTTTTATGCTTAGTAGTATTACTAGTGCAGCACAGCAGTTTACTAGTAAGTTTAAATGAATACTAGTAGGCCAAAAATGACAGAAGTAGTGGAAAAAATGTTACAAATAAGACAAGTCATTAAAATAGTGGGCCCTCGTCATTCTCCCAATGGCCAGAATTATCAGAATGGAACTTAATATTGAAATCAGGGATATTGAATCACTGCTTAAAACAGCTTTCCATAGATGGCGTCAACTTCAGAGGAATATAGTTCCACTCCTCTATGGCGAGTGTACTGTTTCTGAGAAGTTTGTATTTTTAATGGTTATCAATGTGGAGGAAAACTCAGCTGTGCCGCCTAAACAGCTGGCCTGCTGAGTCTGTGGAGGCTGATATAGGCATCGAGTGTGTTTGCATGGCTGAGATGGACACGGATAGCGGCCACTCTCACAGCCGTGTACCCAAGGTGCAGCTTTGCGTCACGCTTACATGCGGCCCGGGTTCTCCCTGTTCCCACCGTGTTGATAAACGTGTGCTCTATGATGCAGATTGCAAAAAAAAAAAAAAAAAAAGCTCGTAAGCTGCGGGTTTCAACCTGTCTGTCATTCTGCATTGATTTGTCAACCACCTTTTCCAGATCATGAAGCGGAATCTTAATAATGTCAAGAGAATGACGTCCCACCCCATATATCAGTATTGTAAGTATCTTTTTCACTGTGCTGTCACAATGCTTTCGTAGCTTAAACAATAGAAATACAATTCCACACAATTGCCAGCACCTGCTTGGTTCAGAATCACGATGGCCCCTGTCTGTCATTCTGCATTGATTTGTCAACCACCTTTTCCAGATCATGAAGCGGAATCTTAATAATGTCAAGAGAATGACGTCCCACCCCATATATCAGTATTGTAAGTATCTTTTTCACTGTGCTGTCACAATGCTTTCGTAGCTTAAACAATAGAAATACAATTCCACACAATTGCCAGCACCTGCTTGGTTCAGAATCACGATGGCCCCTCTACCTCCGCATTGTCATCTCAATCAACCACAACATAGGCTGTTAGAATTGGACATACCGGTACTGTAGGATAAAAACAGTTAACAGCTTGGCCTTGGTGGAGATCTGCTCTCGACTGAATGAGATTCGAGTGATACGCTATGGAACTGATCAAATCGAATGATGCCTAAGACCTGTGTACAGTATTGGAAGTGAAGTCATATAAACGTCACACGTGGTTCTGTTGCAACATGCTGTGGATGTCCTCTCCTCAAAATGTGTTATTTAAAATAAATGTTTTATTTTTGTGACAGGCAAGTTCATTCATGTAATTGGAAATGTGTCTATTTTCTACGAATTACTGTACTGTTTCCCCCTACGATTTGCAAGGGATAGAAAGCAAGCCCTGCCGTGAATGGCAAAAACGTTGCCTATAAATCCCACAAGATTGCGGAATAGCACAAGATTAGTCAAAAGGAATCTCTTCAATTCCTTTTCATAAAGTTCCTTGGGACCTCGGTGCCACAAGATGGTGCCAAAGCAAAGCCTAAGCATTTTTTTTTTTTTTGCATTTGGCACAAACACAACAAATCAAAAAAAAAACACCTTACCTATATTCAAGCATGGTGGTTCCAGCATCAGACTTTGGGGCTGTTTTTCTTCAGCTAGAACTGGAACCTTAGAGAAGGTAGAGGAAATTATGAGCAGTTCACAATAGCAGTCAAAGTGTAACTAACCTTCAGGCTTCTGTTGAAAAGGGAAGTCAGTCATGTAAAGCCGACAAGAACAGATTAAATGTATTGGCACTTTTTTTGATGTAGTTGTGCAGCTTATAGGTCATTGCTGGAAAAACAATTTTAAAAGCATGTGTCTTGGTCTATCCCCCCGCCCCCAAAAACCCGAGAAATGAACAGGTGTGTCAAATATTCAGGCATTCCAAAAGTACTTGACATTGATTCAACAAGCCATATGCATGTGTTTGTGTTTGTCTCAGACATGACGGGAGCCCAGGATGGCAGTGTGAGAATGTTTGAATGGAACAGACCACAGCAGCTCATCTGCTTCAGACAAGCAGGCAACGCTCGTGTCACTCGACTCTATTTCAACTCCCAGGGCAACAAGGTACACGCAACCCGCATGCACATTCACACGCGACGTCATTCCCTTTGTTTTGTCTGTCTGCTGAGGTTGCTCTGATTGCTCTAGTGCGGAGTCGCTGATGGAGAGGGATTTCTCAGTCTCTGGCAAGTCAACCAGACGTCCTCCAACCCCAAACCTTACCTGGTGAGTTCACCTCCCATCTGCCCAATTGCTTTTTAACCCTTGAGGCTTTGTGCTGGCCATTTCTATCCACCACACTTCCTGTTTTAATTTTTCTTTTTTTCTTTTTTTCTTTTTTTTTTGTGGGAGGGAGGAACCATCGTAGTTTGTTAATGTACTGTAAATGTAAGGACATTTCCCAAAGTTATGTGTTTTTGTTGAATTCAACATTTCCAGCTTCAGCACTTCAAATATAACATACTGATTAAATATGATAAATCGTACCCTTTGGCTCTGTTGTTGCCACTTTTGGCCAATTAAAGACCATGCAAACAATATATATGTTTTAAATTCCTTGTTGTTTGTTGGATGGAGTTGTACAATTTGGGTAAAATGTATATAAAGTATATAAATAAATATCAATATAAAATATAAATATAAGCATATTAAAAAATGGGTGAGTGGGGGTGAGTCAATATATTGCTTGTAGTTAACAGACTTTTTACAGCCAATAGAGGAGGCATCTTCCACTTAACTTAAAACAACATTTTTCTCTATGGCCAAAACTGCTCGCAAACATAATGAAAAGGCCGTAAAATCGAAGAAGGCCTGATAGATTTTTGAACAACATCCTACTTTGTCTGATCTCACCGGCAGAGTTGGCAGTGCCACACAAAGACCTGTGGCGATTTTGCCTTCATCACATCTTCGAGCCTCATCGCCACAGCCGGACAGTCCAATGATAACAGGTGAGCATCGAGTCTTGGTCTCAACAGCACCGCTCTTTCCCTTTTTGGTACACTGTGGCACAACTGATCTTGGGTTTCCACAGAAATGTTTGCCTGTGGGACACTCTGATTTCACCCAGCAATACCATGGTCCACGGTAAGAAAGCCAAGCATCATTCCCCTCGCATTCCCCCATCTGTTAAATGCTCCTCTGACGACGTCGATATTTGGTCCTTTACGTCCCTTTAGCATTCCCATGTCATGAGAATGGGGCCACTGTGCTGCAGTACGCTCCTAAACAGCAGCTGCTGATCACCGGAGGCAGAAAGGGCTTCGTGTGTGTGTTTGACATTCGCCAGAGACAGCTGCTCCACACTTTTCAAGCCCACGACTCCGCCATCAAGGCGCTGGCCCTGGACGCCTTCGAGGACTTCTTTGTCACCGGCTCCGCAGAGGGCAATATGAAGGTGAGACACCAACGCTCTTCTCCAAAAACACAGATATCCCACACATAATACAATGGATAATGACCACACTAAGCATTTTATCTGGAAGCTGCTAGTTGCGGAAGCTGCATTTGGTACCGGTCCTTCAATGTGGCCTTACCTAACTTAATCCACCATCATCTAGCAATTATAGAAGAGAAACGCAATGTAACGGCACACAGCTTTGCCATGTACATCATTTGGAAGAGTGCAGAATCAGTAATTATATCACAGCATGACAATAAACAAACAAAAATGACATGCTGATTTCAAAATGGAGTGTTTGCAGATCACTCTGGATATACTCTGCTCGTCGAAGTTGGCTGTAACAGGTGGTGATCCAATTAAACAATCGGCTTGCTAGCCTTAGAAATCTTATTGGTATAAGTTTATATATTTGAGAACTATTCATTCTGAAGGCCTTGGGCAAATTAGAGTGTAAAACACATAAGGGACACAATGAGAGAAATTCAATGAAATGAATAATAGACTTTGGGGAATAAATTAATACAATTTCCTGGAATAAATCCACCCACTCAATTGAAAAGAGAAATACTGTCTGCCAAACATCTATATACCGCAAATAACAGAAATCCACAAATGTCATCCTACAGCAAGGCTTGAAAAAACATAAATCAGCACATTTATAAATGCTGGACCACGAATATACGGTAGATGTTCACAGTACAGTGCCATTTTTCTTTAGAAATAACATGGGGTTTGGGGGGTGGGCGTAACACATGATTTGCATCTCAATTCTTTTCAATGAGGAAAATTGCTATCCTAATTGTATGGACTGTTGTGAAAAAGGTCCTTGAGTAATTTGAGTACCTTGGTTCAAAAAAATGCTTGAGGTATTTTTTTTTTGTGTCTTCAGACTTGATAAGTCGTTTTCCAGACTTTTTTTGGGGGGGGGGGGTGTCATTTATTGCGCTCTCAAACTCTTGCTTCGGATGTCAGCAATACAACGTTGTCCCGAATTAATGTTCAATCACTGAATTGCAGAATCGCTCCTCTGCTTCTGATGTCACTTGTCTCATAGACCAAAATTTATGTGGAGAGTTGTATCTAAATTCCCACTGATGTTTCTAGAGCGGCAAATAGTGTACTGCTATGCACCATTTAAATTGAAGTATGAAATGTTGATTTTCAAAGCATCAAAACCAGTTGGCCCTTTATTACTCAGTGGGGGGGACCAATATATATATATATATATA